TCATCTTCATCTTCATCTTCGTCATCGTCATCGTCATCGCTGCGTCCTCTCAGCGCACCTTCCACCCACAACGAGCCCATGGCACCAGCCTGTCGTCTCGCACCAACACCATCACGCTCCCATGCCTCGCGCATATCTTCGAGTGCATTATACGTCAGGACTCTCTGAGCTTCCTCTGGCATTTCTTGGGCAAAGGCAACACCACCACCAAGGCCGGCATAGGCATTGTAGTCTTCGTTGTGTGCTGCATGTTCGCCGGAACCGATCTGTACAAGAGACGGATGGTAGTCATAGCCGTCTTCATAGATTTCGCTCGGGCCGCCGAAGATGATCCTTTGAGAAATAGTGAGAGGTGAGCTCGGAGATTGCTTCTCGATGCGGGTGCGTAGTTGACTCTGTATGTATATGTAGTGGAGATTGATAGGATAGGGGGTGAAGAATATAGAGATAGATGGAGTGTGAGGCTGCTGGCTTTCGAACAATTGTACCAATAGGATGTCGACGCCCCCCTCCTCAACTGCTCAAGTAGGATTCTCAAAACTTCCCAGGTTATAGGTCAACATTTGTCAGTACTCGCATTTCAGTCGCTCGAAGCGTCTTTTCTCGCAGACACGGGATACAGCCTTACGAGGGCCCGAGGCAAATTTTTGGAAATTCTAAGATCAGCCAACCATCTCCTGTATTATAGTACGCGCAAACACTTTTCAGCACACAGGATGCAGCCTTCATGGCAGCCGCGAGGCAGTTTTAAGAAACTGGCCCAACCATTTCTCGTTTTCAACCGGCCATTGCCACACTCCGGTCCGCTGGCGGCTGCACTACAAGGTCGATGGTGGAAGATATCAAAACAAGCCAAACATCTCTCGTCTATGAGCGTTCGTACACCCTGCTCATTCCGAGTGTAGGGCCATGGTCACTTGCAGAGTACGGGAAACAAGACGCCGTGTTGTACATAAATTCTAAAAACAGTTTTGTACAAGGCTGGAAACTGGAGTCGGGGAGGCTGGAAACTTGGGAACGCAGGCATCACAAAACCCCGACTCCGAAGCCAGTGATTAACATTTGGGCTACTGGGGGAAAATTGACAAAACGCAGCATACATCAATCTCGAAGAACACTGTTGCCTTCAGTTACTGCTAGTGATGTGCAAAATATGCAGTTGGTTTGCTGCGCCTAAGACATTGATGCAGGACCAACACTCCTAGTTGTGCCACGATAAACGAACCCAGCCTCGCTCGGTGAGCGGAAAGAGACGCCAGCCAGGTTCACCCAATTGCCTCTTATATCTCTCCTGAAAATGGCGTTGACCCGGTACGTTGTAGAGCTCAAGTATGCAAACTCGCTCAATTTCAGCCTATGAAATCTCATTGTTTCTTTATACTTCCGCCCAGTACATCATCAGTCTGCCTTGTAATAACCGGTCAAGATGCGCTACATTGGCACGTTTCCCTTTCAAGCATCAAGAGCATAAACGAGCCGCGTTGGGTTGCAAACATCTACACACTGCCACTCTCGTCTTTCGAGTAAGGCTATGAGATGGCCATCTCATATATTATAACCTTTGTCCTACCTAGACTATGAAATAGAAAGAGAACATTTCAAATCAAGATTCTATTACAATTATTCATGACAATCTATACTTTCCGTCTTCATGGGTTATTTCTTCCAAGGTGCCAAAGGGTTCAAGGAATCTTGTCTTAAACTCCGTACTTGCCCTCGTTTACAGACTAGACTGTCACCAACGCAGCAAGTGGCTGATACGTCACTAAACAAGTCACTTCAAACCTCACATAGCATCTGCCCAGTGGATCAAGTACTAGAGCTATCAACGAGCAATACAAACGCTACTTGTATAGTAAGCGCAGTATCAGAGCTACCAGCAAACAATACAATGCCGTTGAACGAAGGATTAGTGAACATTCTTCGTGACGAGTCGCCTTCATTTAAGGGTATGAACCAAATCAAATAAAACTTGTTTTAAGACTAAGACTAAGAGTTATGGCCAGACCGTTGGTTAGGTCGTAAACTCCTCGACATTGCTATTGCTACTGTAGCTGCAAGATCGGTTTCTGCACAAGCTTCGGAGAAAGTGGTCAAGGTATGCCCTAGTCATTTTAATATCGATTCATGCATTGTGGTATACTTTTATGTCTAACTTGACTAACTTGCATTAGGATTTATACCAAGACATGAAAGCCGCTTTTCCATATGACAATTGCTTCAGAGAATTACCTGGTAGAAGAGAAGCTGAACCAGAAGACCCTGATTACTGCTATCTTCTTGAGAGCTTGCTAGGTCACATTTACCTCCGGGGACAAGACGATGCCCCAGGCATTGTATCTATTTTAGAACGGAATGTCAGAGACCCTCGTCGATCCCAGGACGAAAAGTACCTAAAAAGCCCGCCATTACCACCACAGATTAGCCAATCCACTCAAGAGGAACGAATCTTAGATAATGCTTCTAATGGTATGGCTACAGAGGTAGGGTCTGTCTTTGGTTCAAACCAATATATTGGTAGCATCCCAAAGTTTACCCCACCTCAAGAAGTCAGTAACGGAAACGTGAGGCAGCTTCAAGAGCATGCCGATCTGGGAGATCTAGCGATATATACAGTGTTTTTCGAGGAGCATGGTACAATCAAAGGTACCAAGCCATCATATACGTGGCGCCAAACCCAATTAAAGCCTACAAGCAGGTTTCTGTTCACAGTCACCTTTGAAGGGGTAGAGGTTGCTGGGTTGGAATGCAGTTCAAAGCAGAACGCAAAGCATGAGGCTTCAAAAGCTCTTTGGGAAGAACTGCATCTAAGAAAACAGTTGTAGATACCTAGGGTTACTTTATGTTAGGTTTATGCTTAGTTTTGCATGTTAATTTGTGGTTTTATTATTCCAAAGTTTGTGAAAATTTTACCCTTACAGGATAAAATAAGTTGGTTCCTGCTTAGGAAGTTGTACTTCGGATTTATCGACATCGGAGATAGCCTAGCAGGCCTTCAACAACGACGACTTAACTAGCGCAATGAATCGTTTACCAATAGAAATTCTGGCTAAAATAGCATCGCAGGCATTCCAAGAGAAACGAATAGGCCCAGGCAGATTGAGACTCGCGCCCTTCTTGACAATCAATAGGACATGCCAGGTGGTGATTGAGCGCGAGATATTTCGCCATATAGGCGTCGACACAGACAGCCTCCCCCAGCTCACAGCGATTCTCAGCGGTTCAGCGGGTGATCGACGCATCCGCTTAATACAAAAACTAGAGTTTCATTATCTTCGTAACCTGGTGCCCTTCCTAACTCCCACCAAGCTCAGTGAGCTAAGAGAGCAGCAACGGCAGGCAAACGAGTCCTTTTCTGAAAGTATGAAGGCACTGTTCGGTCATCTCAAGGGCTGGGAGGAGAGATTGGATGCGAGTGGGACAGTGGCCGCAAGTCAGCACCAGATGCGTCTCCTTCTGGGAAAAGAATTCTGCCAGAAGGAGGCGGTCCCGCCGATGCCGCCTTCTCATACAGAGGATATTGCAGTTCCGCCCTTGCCGGCACAGTCGCCGGCAAATGTGCCACTAGAGGCCCCCGGCCGACATTTTGCAAGGAGGCCATGGTTAGGATATGCTCCAGAGCCAGTTCTGGCCCGCCCCCTCTGATTGATGTGCGATATTTTGGCGAAGAGAAGCTGCTAGAACTTTGTATCGTGTCTTCGATGATATTATACGAAAATCACGGCATCCGTCCGGATAGTCTGATGCAGACTCTCTCCCAGATGAAGTGTTTAGATCACTTTCAGGGGAATATTTTTGGTGAGATGAAGAATTTGGATCGTACTCGTGAATACCGACAAGGTTTGTGACTATAGGTGTCTCTCATCAGACATATGTACTTTTCGGTTCGGGTCCTAACTTCCTTAGTTTTAGCTTAATCTCTGCACCCTCTGCCAGGATCGCTCGGTCTATTCTTCTGTGAGTTTCAGCCCTCGGATCCCGACCCGCGGACATCGTATTCAGTACTTGTTGGTAAATGTCTTTATACTTTTGGCATAATTGAAATTAATACACGTCTAACGAGAATCGAAGCTAGTGGTTGCCAGCGGTCAGACTATGCCCACCTCTGTGTCGTCAAACCGCCGCAAGAATCTATAGAATACTGGTCGAGGATTTCTCGGCTGCAGGAGGCGTTAGTGGACCCGTGAAGCTTGCGGGAGGTGCAGCTTGCAGTAGCCGCAGTGCGCTCATCATGAAATTCAGTGCGACGGATAAGAGTGAAATTTTACTGTTGAACAAGCTAGACAAGACAGGAGGCGGCATTCTGTTATTTGTTGTCGATGTTGTTACCTTCGCGAATTGGAACCCAGCGTCGCTGATGGAACAGAGTTCTCTCGTTCTAAGCATTAGCCACTATTAAGCCATACAGCGTTAGCCATGACCCTGATCAGCTTGGCTTCCGTGGCGGCCCTTCAAACAGAAGATAGACAGATACCGAAGCCAGCCAACCATCTCCTGTTTCTGTGAATCCAATATCAGGATCGAAGATAGAGGGATGCAGCCATTCGAGAGGCCCGAGGCGGATTTTAGAACTCGACTAACAGTTTCGCGTTTCCATGAAGCTGTTATCGTGATCCTAGACAAAGAATGCGGCCTTTCGGCAGGCCCTAGGCAGATTTGAGTATCGACCAACCGTTACGTGTTTTTTATGGGCTTTCAGGCCGCTATAAATGGAGAAGTGCAGAGGTCAGCCTCAGCTGCCTAATCGTTTGTGCTCTGTAAGTGCGCTCAAAAATCTATCATTTCTAAGCGCAGGGCTATGGCGACACAAAGAAGGAAACCGTGTTAGACGGGCTAATGACCACCCACAGTAGGCGGGGAGCAAGGGGCTGTGTTGTGCATTGGTTTTTTGTACTAACGAGAAACTGGGCTCAGGATGTAGAGAATGATAAAACCCGACTCTGAAGCCAGGCATCAACTTTTAGGTTACTAGCTCCGGAAAAACTGACGAGAAGCAGCTCCAGTTCTTGTAACCCGTTACAGACCGGCGGTTTGGAACCGTCGGTCCCCCGTGACGCACGCTACCTGCATTTGTGAATATACCTCCGGACAAGCATACAAACTGCCACGGCGATCCTTCTCCTTTCACAACTGCTGCGGAAATGACATAGGCGAAGACCTGGGGAATGAGGGGAAACCCCAGATGCCACTGGCAATAGTTGCTGATCCTGAATCATTCAAGGATGACCGATGCTGGCGACCCCGCGATTCGCTCATGGATAGTCGTACAACGTTACGCCATCACCGTTAGAGCTGCATTAAAGGTGCAATATGAGAGAGTGCGGGGTCAAAATGTAGTTCCTCAGAGGCCAAATTGTAGAAATTTGATCCCTGATGATTTGCCCTTTGGCTATAGATTCAGTATAACGTTAGACTCTCCGGTTCCACCTTGTTTGGCTAGAAACCAACTTTGGATGTATTTCGATAAAAAGCTTTGGCCGTGCGGGTTAGTGGGATAAAATGTCTCTAGAGAAGCTCGGAGAGTGGGGAGCCCTGTCTCAGTCCGCGTCTTCCTAAGACATTGCATCGAAGGAAGAGGGCCACCGCGTGTGTCCGAGAACTCGACATGTTTCCGAGCACTCTTACCTGTCCCTCTCATTTTTTGATCTGCAATATCATCCTGGTGAGTTGGTGTCACTCGCCATGTCGGTGAGGTAGCTAGCCTTGGCTGCTTGCTGCGAGCAGAATCCCTGCTAATCTTATAAAATTTAAATTTATAAATGCTCTAAGCAATTACCTATAGCTGGTATCTAAACGTTGGGGCCCTGTCTCCCATCTCACTTAACTGTTGATCTGTATGTTCGCTCCCATCATTATGCAAAGCATCTCTCTTCTCATTAATCCGCATATAACTATATCTCAACGCAGCTAAAGCAATCATCCCAATAACACAGAACATGAGTTCGAGCCCGTGGCCTAGCAGGAACTTAGGAGAATCGACTTTGCGGTAGAAGTTCGAGGCCATTGCGCCTCCTAAATTTCCAACGCCAATGTGTAACGCCATACCGGCTGCACGCTTGTAGGAACCGGCGAGATTGTTAGACATCCAAGTAATGTTTCCTGGGAAGGCTGGGTAGATTCCACAGGTGGCAATGAAAACGCCGGCGTAGACGACGCCAGGGACAGTGCCTGCCGCAGATCCAGCGATGGCCATAATAAAACCGACGAGGATTGCACACATCGGAAAGAAGACGTATGGCGAGCGGCTCCTCCCTGCTTTTGCGGCCTTGTCCGAGAAGTAGCAGACCACCAATGTCACGACGGCCGCTGTGATGTAAATCGGGATTGTGAGCAGTTGAGCAATTGTCGCAGTGTAACCCAATTGAGAAATGATGGTAGGCAGGAAGAGGCTGATTCCGTAGAGGGGGCAGACAATACCCCAGTACATCAGAATTCCGAGATATAGCTGCCAATCAGTCATAGCCTGGAAAACATATTTCCACTTGAACTTGTCATCCTCAGCAACCATCCTGTCAGAGCGATTAGATCCTTGGTACTTGAGACGATGAGCAGCCCAAGCTCTCTCCTCCGGCGTTAAGAACGAAGCAGTTTCTGGGAAATCATGGAGCAGAAAGAAAGCGGCAATAGCGACAACGACGGTAAGGAGGCCCTCGAGGATAAAAATCCATCTCCAGCCCTCGTATTCGCCAACGCCGTTCATCTTAACGATGAGATAAGCAAGAAGCCCAGAGAAAGCTCCAGCCATCGAAGCCGCACTGAAGAAGAGACCCTGTCGAAGAGCCATTTCGTTCGTGCAGTACCACATTGTCAGGTAGTACGCCACACCAGGGTAGAGACCAGCTTCCGTGACGCCAAGAAAGATGCGGATGACGACTAACGCGTGGTAACTCTGGACGACTCCTAGACACACGGTGCAGGTTCCCCAGGCGATCATAATGGAAGGCAGCCAGATCTAGGAATACATTAGATCTGAGTTATCTACAAAAGAGAGAAGACTCACAGATGGGCGGAGGCGTTTGAGAAGAAGATTCGAAGGGACCTCGAAGGCGCAGTATGTTAGAAAGAAGCTGTTTCAAATCATTAGATCGTGCGTCTTAAACTTTCATACTAGGCAACCAGCAACTCACACAGTCGACGCAATATTGTATCCGTTATCTGATAGATGAAGGTCTTTGGTGAGGCCTTGAATTTTCGCATTGCCAATATTTCCACGATCAAGAAAAGCCAGCAAATACAAGACTGCGAGAGCTGGAATGAGTCTGACGTCCATCTTTCTTAGCGTCTTCTTCTCATCAATCCCCGAGAAATCGGCATCGTGTCCCTCAGAATTTAAATCATGCTCAAGCTCTTTCTCGACGGCATCTTCTTGGCCAACAGAAACAGGCTTATCAGTTAGAGACGACATTTTGAGAGAATCAGGAGTGGATGCATGAAAAACTGCACAGTCTTGGTGACTTCAGATTTGAACAACACAATACTCGACGACAATCAAAACAATGAAGATACTAATCCAAAGTAGTGAAGGATATTTAAGTAACTATTTAATTAGAAGATTATCTCTCTACGTATTTTAATGCTTATATATCTTTGTAGAGTCTTGCTCTGCCCATCCCACGACTTAGGAAAACCCCGCATCTCGGATCCGA